GTTGAACCGTCGTCTCGCGATTTCCGTTTTGACGAAACTCAGAAGATTGCCGCATAATGCTTAGCACATGGAATGTACGGATCAAGTCTTTAAAAGGACTGCAATATATGTGAAATCTTTAAGAGAGCAAATAAACTGATTCGGGCAGAAACAGGGTTTAGATTGGTCCATTTATTTTAACTTTATCCCAAATTCGAACCGCTTTTATGACAACGCTCCTTGTTACCGACGTTCTTCGATCCTTCGAAGCACTTTAAGGCATTTCCATGATTTCCACTTTTAAAATAAAATGGACAAAAAAATCATTGCATATTAATGAAACAAGTGTGCTAAATTTATATCAAGATCTGTGCTGTGTCACCTTAAACATGGTTAATATTTTGGCTTTTGTACAAGGAATTCGGCATTTAAACGAGCATTTGTTTACTGTAGGTCAATATAATGTAGTAATTATGGGTAAATGTCGGGTCTCATTTTTAATAGCGACGAAGGACCAACTAACAATTCCTTAAAAATGGCATCCTTGAAGTGATAACTTAGCTCAAAAGATCCCATCCTAAGTACAGGAGAGCCTCATAACTAAGACCGTAGCCATCGAATGCACACGAGAGGTAGACTTACTGACATATCGAGAGCTTGTTCACCTGGTAGAGGTGCAGCATTGGTGGTACCAGCTGTTGGTGTTCCGGTTCCACCTAGCTCAATCCTGCCCTGTCCAGCAGCGGCTGCTGCAAGCAGTTGACTGACAAAATTCTTTGCTGAATTTGCGTCCATCATTATGGCCGTTGTGACTTTTGGTGTGGCGGTGCTAATAGTGGCAGCGGTAGTGGTGGTGGCAGCAAATTCGCCACTATGCTGCTGTCCTTTCAGAGCCTCCACAAGACCGTTGACGCTGCATACCATAGCAGCCTGCGAACGAGTTATTGAGGAGGAGGAAGAGGAGGAGGAGACGGAGGAGGAGGAGGAGACGCAAGCAGGAGGGATAGACGTAACACTCATATCTCCGTTCGCTTCTGGCTCCTTTTCCATTTTCATGCGCTTGCAAACCTGCTCCACTAAATCCTCTCCTTCTCCGTTCATGGCCAAAGCAGCAGCTGGTAGTTTTCCCTGAAGTAACGGAACCCTTGATAACTTTTGATGCTTAAGAAAAAGTATTAAATAAGGAGAAGTAGTAGCAGTAGTTAACTTGAGCATGCAACTTTTCCTTCTGTGGCATTTGGTCTAATTCTCAAACTTCACATCTGTCAGTGTTCAGCCATTGGGGATTGAAGCGAGCTTCGCACCCCAGCCTCATTGGCCTGGTGTGAAGCTCAGGGGACAGCGACAATCGCACCTTAATGGTGGACTCAACCAATCAACATTGAAATTATAGTGCTCAATATTTCATGTAAAATTTAAATGTTAGACCACAATTATTTTTGAGCTAGCCGTATGCGTTTCATTGCGGATGCATGACAGGACAAAACATGCTCCGAAATGAAAGCATTTCATTCAATGATCTTAGCAGTGGATTAGAGGGCAAAACAAACATGAAGTGGTTTGCCCGCTCAGCTCAAAGAAGGGAGTGAACTGGAGACGAGTCTGTGACAAAGTGAATGTGGGTGTATGTGTGCGTTTTAAAGCTGAAGAGTGTGAATTGTTGTGCTTGACTGTTGTGGTGGTGGCGGCGGTTGCGCCTGAGTGGTGTGAGTTGCCTAGCCGAGTGGACGCAAGGTGCGGCATGCGAGTAAGAGGCGAGTAGGGGATCGATAGCACCTCCAGCTTGCCCAGCCACGTGTGTCCGTCTCTCTCTCTCTCCCTCTCTACTTCTGTGTATATGTGTAAGCTTGTCTGTATCTGTGCCGCATTTCACTGCGTGCTAGCCAGCGAATTCCCTGAGAAAGCAGCTGCACTGCATCGGCGTACAGTGCGTGTGAGTCAGGCAGACTTAGAAGCCATTCCCCACCCCCTCCCTACTCTCGCACCACAGAGACGGGACCTCTAGTCGGTTGCCGGGGTGCGTACCGCCCATCATGACGACGAATAGGTAAACAAGCCAAGGAACTGGACTGTCGTTCTGTCTACTGATGGGGCAGGTGCAACCGCAGTGTTGGATCAAATTAAGTGACTTCATTGCAGTAGACACCACCCAGTTTATAAGGCAGATCAAGCAAAAACTGATTGTTAGTTTTAAATACTTTTCGTTATTATATATTTCCTCATTAGGGCGTGCAAATGAGCGTAAAATTGGTTTTAAAGAAGTGATTGTCAGAAACTCCAAGAGAAAATCCACTAACCATATAAAAGACCGAAATGAACATGCACTAGAGCCTACCTTATTCAAGTTGTTTAAGACTAGCTTTTTACGGATGTAGGCTGAAATTCGATGATGTGGATTAACATTTGACTTTGAGTACTTGATTGGGGTATTCAAAGTTTGGATAACAGCAAACCTACCCTTAACTTGTTTTTGCTTCTAAAGCACCTTGGCAATGTGTGTCCAGGGGCGCTATGCCTACGTTTGTGTTTATGCGCGTGAAATTTTGAAATTTGTGTAACTTTGTTTCTGTCGGTGATATACTGCACACATGCACTAGCAAGCAGGCAAGCGTACAGCCAGGTATGGACGAAGGAATCACCGCAGCTCACAGACTTTACCTAGCCGTGGGCATCTCTTCCCATAACTCCCTTCCATCACTACTACCACCACCACCACCACCACCACCACTACCAACCATCGCACATGAACGACATAGGTACGCACTCCTGCTGCTACAACTGCAGTCCAGCCAGAGCGTTCACTCGTCCACTCGGTGACGTGCGCACGTGCCTCCATCAGTACGATGCGCGTCGCATACACCGACGCACTTCGCCCGAGCATGCACGCACGCACGCTCGCGTGTGTGGATGCGCACACAGCGCGCTCTATGGGGATGATGATGATGAAGATGGTGATGCTGGGAGAATGAGGGGAGGCAATATGGGTACAGTTGCCGCCAGAGAGCTGTGTTAGGGCGAGTGCTGTGTGCATGTGTGTGTGTGTGTGCTACGAGGACGCGAGATCAATAAACTGTTTGCAGGCTTTTGCGCTCGCCAGATCGTCCGCTCGTACCTACGCACGCACGCAGACGCCCACCAAGCAAACTCTGTCCCATGTGTATGAAGGTGCAAGTTTGGTGGTGCCATAGGGCTGAGAGAAATGGGTGATGAATAGCTATGTGTGTGCGTGTGTGCATGTTTGGGCACAAACACATGGAGTGAATGGGTGGGTGGGTAGATAGGTGTGTGGGATGAACATAGCTCAGGCGCGGCCTTTGAAGAGGAAAATGGTTTTGGAGTGGGGGAGGAAAATGGGATGGAAGGGAGGCCATATAATTAATGACCCAGCAACGCGGAAAATGCCTCCAAAACAGTTGCTCTTTTGCGAGCTACTGGCTCGGTCTGATTATTCCATCACCATACGAATAAGGCTCATCACTTCCTCGACATTAAGCACTTAGCTCCAATTTCATAGCAGACCCCCGTTCATCTGCACCTGTATTTAATGCGATGGGCGTTGAATATACACATACATATAACATGTGGTTTGCGTACTGAGTGGTCCGAGTAATTCCAAAAAACAGTGACGTGAAGGAAGAAAATGTTCCTGCCTGCACATATTAGACTAAGCAAGAAGAAGAAACATGGAACCAGCGAGGATGATTTAAGGGATTCGGAGTGCTCATGCATGAGGCGGGAGAGTAGGAGCAGCTACGACAATCTAAAGACCGGAAGTAGTTAGTCACTAAAGGCGTTAATTACCCTTCCTTCTAGCCTTGAGTACTCACTCGATAGATGACTACGCTTTCCTGCTCAATAAAAGACGCCATGTCCAAGGCGGATAATCCAGTCGTGGTGTACCACACACTGTGTCGGTTGCTCTTTGCGAAGTTGCATCTTTTATAATAATGATAAAAACATGCACAACTCCTCACTTTCCAATTTGTATGGAACAGTTGGTAGTAAATTGCGTTTGAGCGCATTAGCAACGGGTTCATGGGTTAAAATTTGCGGTATGCCTTGGAATACTCTCCCACCATATTTTTATTATCCTGATTATTGAAAACTTTAAGCCTTAACTAAGTGGCAGTAAATATTGAAGTAATGAGGACTGGGTTGACAAATGACATCTTCTCCATGCTATCAATCGGCTCTGGCGACTCCATTATGGTTGACAAGGTCGTTCGCAAGTATGGTGACGACGGAAAAGTTGATGATTGTGATGGGTATATGTGTATACATATACCTGCACTCACACATCACCGAGTTTAGTCCAAATGAGAGTCTGTTTACCTTACGAGCGCTCTCATCTCATCCGGTGTAGGTATGTGCATGCGCGCGTGTTTGTGTTGGTATGTGTAGCGGACAAAGTTGCAACCACTCGTGGGTGCGCTCGCACCTATACGACATACATTCATACGCTCATGCATACTTTATGCATGACCAAAGATTAAAACGGACTAGTGTCCACGTACAATACAAATTGAGAAAGTCGGACTCGTGGACGCTTGCGCAAACGCGTGCAGACGTGCTTCTACCCTCCAGCTCGTGCATGCCACCATCATGTGATTACAGTTTATATAATCAAAGTCCTGCCTTCACGAGCACCAGCACTCAGGCGCACGGTCCTGCAACGACACATAAACACACGACTTCGACGCGTCCCGAGTTAGCATAGCCAATGAGTTGACTGCCTATATTCAACACCGCCACTAATACTGTAGCCAAAATTGGGCTTGAACAATGGGAAGAGATGCAACACAACTTTCCGAATCCATTGAAGAGGTGACGTTTGTTGCCTTCTTTCCAAAAACTGGAGTCTCATAGACTCTAATAAAGTCTTCAGTCCTTGAAGGCGTGAAAATCATGCTTCCAAACATCAAACATGCCTGGGTTTAGTGGACAATGGGTTTTGCCAATCCCAATTCGGTCCAATTTAATCTACTCTTCCCATTGTATAGAATTTGATTTGGCTTAAGCCCAATATTGTACACTTTGTTTTGAGGTTGTGCGAAAAATTTCTTTTGAAACTTACACTACTATGCAAAGAAAAACTGAAGTTGCACACAGCATGGACGAAGTCAGACAATGAGCACGCCATCTCACAGAGCACAGCGAGTAATAATAACGAAGTAAACGATAATTTATGCCAAAGCCAGCATGGTGTACTCATGAAACTTTAGCCGATAGCTCTTATTTTCGACTGTAATCACAATCAAATAAACAACGCCAATCGTGCCAACGAGAAAGCGCTCGCATGTGATCCAAAAATTGCATACCAAAATGTAGTGGTTCTACCTGTTGGGTCAAAGAGCGCCAAGGACTGAGAATGCGGTGGGCGGAATGCAGCTCAAGCTAGATTTGCAAGCACCTTCGGGACTGCATGCGCTAGCAATCTAAAACCCAGAGACGAAAGTGGACTTTGCGCTCCTGGCATAAAATAAGTAGAGAGGGAGAGCAAGAGCAAGGCGTTTCCGTAATTTCACCTACAGTTCTGCATTTGAACGTGCACATAAGGACAGCTTTAAAATGTGATGTAAGTGATTTTCCCCAACTTAAGGTATTGGAAGGAAAGCAATGGGATGGATGAAAGGCCCCTTATGTTTGTCTATTCACATAATAGCGGGGAGGCGGTTTACTCATTCAGCTAGCCCACCCTCTGTCCTCGGTGGTGTTATTCTAAACATTCTTAACCCATGCTATGCTGACTGAGCAGGGTAAGGTAAACAAAGTTCACTTGCTGTATTGATTTTTGCAAATAGCTGTTTAACTTGAGCCGTCTGACGATGATAGTGCATGCTAAGTAATTCTGCCAATCACTACCTGAGCAGAATTCGTCAAACCAATCAGAGATAAGAGCGAAAGGCTTCTCATGGAGATGTGCGTGAGTAGAAGGCGGGTGGATGCTCATTGGTGAATGTGTGAGATGTGCGAGCATGCGCCCACGGATGAGAGGATCGTCTGCCTCTATTAGTCGCGGCCATAGCCGGAGTCTTGGAGCCACGACTGTGACATGAGTCATCAAATAGGTGAAAGGGAGACGCACTAACGCACACACCAGTCACCACCACAGTGCCGTCTAAGGAGGGCTGGGGATGAGGAAGAGGGGTGGAGGGGTAAGAGAGAGTTAAATGGGCCGACTGGTTAAACCATGTGACTTGAGTGAACAAAGCTGCTCCCCACTCCCCGTTTGTTTGTGCAGTTGGCATATATGAGTCTTAGATGGAATATATCAATTCCATGCATTCGGCTCTAGAAACTAGCACGAATCTTCGATATTAAAGGATAAAATGGTACACGATTCAATCACTAATATGCATGGACAACCTCCAATCAAGTCGCATCAAATACGTCCGCAATCAATACGATTGCATAACCAGAAAGTTATATTTCAACAACACTGTATAACAGTTGAGAAATAAAATGGTCGATCTGATGCACATTCACTCACCTTCATTAACAATTATTATTACATTGTGCTCATCACGTAGTCTGCAAAAATCGATTTTAGTGCTAAAAGGTCGCAGGCTCCGCAAACTTTATTTAAAATGCCATAGATATTCGAAGGTAGAATAGCACTTCAAGCACACCTTTTAATACAGACAATCAATCACATGGCTTTGGGAAGAGCAGCTAAGACTAAAAAGATCCGATTTCACACATTTATATAGGGCATCCATGCATATTTGAAAAAAATCTTTTTAAAGCAAAATAAGTACTGGTGGGTTGTCAGTGCCAAATAAACGTAAGCCAAGAATGATAAAGATTGAGTACACAACTCTTGTGGATGTGAAGTTATGAAGGAACATATATGATTGCTCGGCTCAACTGAATGTATACCACGCGAGTGTTTCAGGTGACAGCGTTTAACCCAGGCTAATCTAGGACAGAATTCACCACATTTTATCAGGGGCTGCATAAATTAAGGCATGGGGACCTCTGAGAGGCCCTTGAATGGACTCGATTTAGTGATTAACCATTGCGGAAGAATTAACATATCCAAATATGACTTATGTGTGAGTACGAATAGACATTTAATAAAGTCAATTAAATACAATACGAAATGCAATTTTGACGAAACCCGAAAACAACTAATACGAAGTCCTCTAAAAGACAGCTTACCAGTAACACACTTCATAAAGATTACAAGCAACAAAACTCCTTTACTAAAGTCTTTTTTATAAGTCACAACGCTAATGATGCCTTAGTAGCGCTAAACGGACCGATATACCGAATGACGTTAGAATAAATAAAAAATAATCAATAATTTTACCCTGATTTGAGGAACACAACTATCATTGTTTCCAAGAGGTAAAGGAGTCAAGGATGGATTAGCACAAATACTAAGGAGGTTGGTTTTAAATACTTTCTTTAACAATACTGAGGTAAAACGAAGAATATGGCAGTAAATTTAGACTTACAGGAGTGGTGGCTTTTCGCCGACGAGAACCCTGAACAGAGTTTGTCCTCTCTGGAACCGTTTGAATTGGTTCACTCTGAGCCAAAAACCGGGAGGAAGTGCTGCCTACCGCTGAAGTAATGGTTGGAGGGGACGACGACTGCGGCGGCAAAGTAGCGGCTATTGCCGCTGAAGGATTTGAGGGGCAATTTGAGGATTGAGGTTGCAAATGTGGTGGACTAGTTAAGCCCACCCGAAGACTACCCACAGTGCTCGAAGGAGAGAAAGTAAAAGGAATTGTCATGGTTGTTGCTGGTGCTGATTCCGAGTTCAGTATAGCATATCGAGTTTCCACAAATTTATATGACGTGGTCTAAAATAAATGAAAGTACATTTTATATGGATAACAAATTACGAGAAATGAAGATGTAATATGACATTTTACTTTAAATTACCTCAAAGTTAAAATGATAGAGTTTCATATGCTCATCAAGGAGGTTTCTTTCTGTTGAGGAGCTACCACATTGAGGACAGGAAAGCAGCAAAATCGACTCAATTGACGAATGATGATTTTTGATGTGTTCTCTCAAGGTTGAGAGAAGCAATGTAGAAAAATCACACGATGAACAACGAAGCACATGTACATAATTACTTGAAGTACTTGGAGTTCTTGTTAATATAATGGACACCGGCCGCGCATTGTTATTTGTGTCGGTATCACCTTTTAAAATGCAAGGAGAAGCCTCAACATTGGTAACTTTGAAGTTCGCCATGTTAAGACTGAACGTTGATGGCATAAGCGATTTGGGATCTGCACAATGTAGAGTCTCCATTAAAAGGTGGCACGAGCAATAGTCATGACTTCAATCATAAATATAGAATAGGCGCGCTAAGGCTGACTCTAGTTGTCGAGATACAGGTAATTTACTTTACAAACTTAAACAAAATTAAAGGTCGTTATAATTCTTTAGGCTTGATCTTTAACTTTCATTAAATGTAAGAAAGTAAAAAAATTATATATTTATCTAAGTACGTCTATTAATGAATATATACCTGTGTACTAGATTAATACTTTAAGCAGAAATTAGAATAAGTTAATTATGGATTACTTGTAAGCCAACAACTTATAGTAGTATCGCCGATACAACAAAGTATTGTTAATAAATTATTACAAAATTTTAAATGAAAGTTTTTGGTCGGTGCAACATTACACAAAAACATCAACAGTGACTGTGGAATTTCCCGTCCCACTCTCTCGGTCATTTACTTTCATCTCCATAAATCAAGGATTGCGTAAAAAGTTTTTTGGACATATTTGCATAGTTTAGAGCAATAATGAAGGTTGAATTTAGCCGCGGGGTTACCCACATCACTCTCGGAAAACGTGGGCATGCTCTTTTGGCACGGGATGTGTCATCTGTAAGAGCAATTTAGACACTTAATATGCATGGTCTTAACAATTATTGACTTTGTTTTAAAAGATTAAGAAAATAGCAATATGTATGCACAATTATATCGAGGAGAGAAGGAATCTTGGAATACTTGGATAGCCTAATCTCAAGCCTTTACAAAGAGGACAAAATAACCATGTGGTTGTAATCTAACCGATTCCAAGTTGTGGGTTATGACACTTCTTAATGGTAGCAGGAGGTACAATGAAGAGCGTAAATAATTGCGCTTGGAGACAGGGAGCAATGAAAGGGCCTTGGCTTGACGAACCCACGCCGTCGAGAGCACGATGAATGTTGAAGTTACCGTCAATCATTCAGGTAGTCATATAAACAAAGAAGTGCATTGCCATTGTCTTCTTTAGGGTAAGGTTTGCAGCCCACTTTCTCAGTACTCCTTCAGCACAAGTCATCACATTATTTTGGTGCTGCAAGTAAAGTACGCAATTCACTCTCTCCAGGCATCAACTCTCATGACACTATGGTAAAGTACTTCCCTCTTAGCAGCTTTGACCTAATCTGAAAGATTACATTCGGCCTGAACATACGGATCGGAGTCGCAAAATTTCTGTCTTACATCATTAGTGCCTAGGGCCAGATATTGGAATAAGGAAAACGAGAAATAACATAAAATCGTGTAAAACTGGGTTCAGCGTAGTGCCAACACCGAAATTCAAGTGCGATCGCGATTAAGATTCAGCAGGATTGAATATTTGTATTCAAAGAGGCGGGGTGGAGATTATTCTTTAGCTTGGACGAAAGGCTGGACCATGCAGGCAAGTGTAAGGTGAATATCAAAAGCAACCGCCAATAAAACACAGTCAAATAAACAAGATATTGCTCAAGTGTTAAGCAACCTTAATACGTATAGATGATTTCCTTCTCTTATGGGTCTTATTCGATGCCTTTGCCGCTACCGGACAAAAGCAACGCATTCAGTGTTGGCAACTATACTCACGAGCTATTCATGAGATCGTTGAGTTTTGCTGCTGTAAAAGACATTTGGTCGATGCAAAACTTCGTCTGTTTATCTGCTGATTTCAGTCGGGGTTACTTAGAGAGCTGGGCCATCTCAAAGCCACAATTGTTATTCCTAATTTAGCCCTAATTTCATCAAGTTTGCATTCAAGAATAATGGATGAGAAATTCCGTTAAACATCATGACAAGACAAGAAACAATAAGTCTATTAGAAATTTTATCTGAATCATTACGGATTTGGGTGCAATTACCTGTATGCTTCTGCTATTGTTCTCTCCTGCAATATTGTTCGCAATCTTTTACTGTCCAAATCGTTATGATGGCTGAAAAACACTGTGATCTCCATCTCCAAATATGCTCACTCTTGACTGCTTTTTTGGAACACCCCACAGATGGCTCAGATGGTCAGGACAACGACGCACTCCTCCAAGCAATCCAGTAAGTCACAATTCTCTTTGTCTTGCCTACTCCTTTTTGAGTGCCATAAGCTTTTTGTGGATACCGGGGAAAATAGAAGGCTACTCATGCACTTTCCTCCTGAACTCAGGAACGGCCATGTTATTATTAAACTCGCAGGCTTTCCTGATAATTTGTAACAAAATACAGATGGCTCCTCCAGTTACAAAGCTATGCCCTGAGGAGGGAAGGGAGATATTGTTAATGGAGGATGCCTTCATTGGAGTCACAGTCGGGAAGGTAGGTTAGGAGATAAATTTCGTTCTATGCCCGGAACTTGCCTAGGGTATGATAGTGGGAGTTGGCTTTACGCCAGTCTCAAGCGATTTTTAAATTTGTGGAAGGACCCAGCCTAGTCCTGAGAACAGTATCGCGATCCCTCAGCCTTCACCGCCTTACCCTTCACAGGGGCCAATCAAAGCAACATCTGTCCTCAGCCAGAAAGGTGGCGAAGCTGGGGCAAATGAACCGGTGAGGCCAAGCCGTTGAGGAAAGTGCCGAGGCGCATAGCACTGCCTCTCCAAGACGAAGTACATCGGGCCATATACATCGTCATGAGGCGCCCTAATTGCACTAGTAAAAAGGGGTGATGGTAGTCTGCGCCTGTTTTGAGGATAAAAGGCTGAATGCAGTGATGAAGAAGGACGCGTTTTCCTTTCCGCCCATTAACGACTCACTGGAGTCGCTACAAGGGATCAAGTGGCTCTACACGTTAGACCTGACATCCAGCTGCTGGCAAGTGGAGGTAGAGCGGAGAAAGATCGGAAAAAATGGCAATCATTGTACCATTGTACGCTGCGTGACCTTCCAATGACTAATGCAGATGGCATTGCGAGTGCATCGTCTACGCAAACGACATCCTCATGTTCGGGGAGACATCCAAAAGCATAGGTCTAATCTCCTGCTGGGGCTAGACCGTCTTCACAAGAAATACTGTTCCCCTAGAACACAATCCCTTTCTTGGGACACACGATCTCTGCCGATGACATGGCAGTCTCAGAAAATGAAAAAAACAAGTTAAGATGTGAACGATGTCCATTAACCAAACTGAAAGAAAGGTGGTGCTCATACTGCCCTATCACACAGACCTCCTTCTGTCAGTAATGATAGTGTTGCAGTGGGTTCATTGATCAGAGCTCCAACTCCGATACACCTGTGGTGTCCAAGAGAATAAAGATATCCACGGCCAAGTCTACAGTCGAGGAGATGAGCCCGGTGGGCAGAACAATCAAACGGATATGGCAGAACTGGTAAGAAGTCTCCTAGAAGGATAGCATAATGCAGTACAAAGACAATTCAGCGAGCCTAAATGTCTCGTGGTGCCAGGCTCTGTTTGAGCTACATGAGCAACAAGGCCACGCAAGGGAAGGGAGGAGGGTTGACGCAATGTTTTGTTTATGTAACTACTTGACGTTTGGCGGTCACTTTAGGATTCGTCTGGCCCTTGTACTAGTGAGTTGGCCTTCGGACCATGCTCAGGCCCATTTGCTCTGTTCTCTTAGGAATGCATTTATCCAGCCTCTTTTACTGTCTTCTTCCACCCTATGGGAAGTTTCGAAACGCTACAGTTGATGCCATGGACAAGAGGTATTGGTGGCTCTCGCTGACATTGGATGGCTTTGATTTCTGTCGCACGTGATCCAGCTGTATCAGATCCAAGAATCTACACCACAAAGCGGTCGCTCTTATTTAGTCTATGTTCATGAATTTCTCAAAGGAGAAAGTAGACAAAAACGTCATTGACCAACTTTCAACAATAGAGAGAGAAAACTGCTATATCTTGGTAGTGATTGACTATTTTACTGAGATTGCTGAAGCTGAACTCTTAAAGGCACAGGGCACTTAGGCAGTAATTGCAACGCTTTTTTTCCAATAGTTCGGTCTGCTACTACAGCAGTTCTGATCCGGTTCACAGTTAACAAGGCCATAATTTTGAAATTCGATCCTTTGTGTAACTACGTAAAACTTTTCGGAATTACAAAACACGCACAACACCTGGACATCCGCAGCACGAACCGTACACTCCTAGACCTCTTAAAGGCTTTTGCTAGAGGCGCACAACATGAAAAATGGGGTCTACAATTGGAACGTGCCCTTTCATCACACTGGGCTACCGCCCACCCCTCGACAGGAGCTCCAACTTTTAAAATGCACAAAAGTCACGAATTAAGGTTTCCCTCTGATATCGCTCCGCCCAGCAATGAAGAGCTGAAAGATGAACACTGGACTATGTCGTAACACTAAATGGATGCTTACGGGAGGTATTTGATGCGGCAGAGAAGCAACTACAGAAAGCACGCGCCTAGCAAAGAAGGTTCTGTGACTGGTGGGTCAACAACGATGTTTACAAGGGAGGGGACCTAGTCAAATTATGCAGACCAGTTCTCACCTCCCCCTCCCTTCCCTACGGAAACACACTGGGCACCCTACTATCCATAGTCCAAGGTCCCCCACAGTGCAGTTAAGTTGTGTCCTCAACGTACTTTCTCCGTACACGGCCGAAAACAGTCCACCATAACAAGACGCGCTACAGGGACAATCTACCACTGGGTCATGAAGATGCAGTTTACGCGGTAGCGGAGGCGAGGCGATCCCCTGAAGTCGCAGTATGAGCCTTAAAGACTAGCAACGGGGCAATTTAACGCATACTGTGTTTGAATTTTCCTGAGGCACATGAGGCGGATTTATTTCGAATATCGTGTTCAAGGAGCATGTGGTGGAGAAGTCACTTCCTCAGTAGCTCTCTTTGTACTTAAGTTTATTCCTTTCGCCTATGTAAACCCTCCATATACTGCTACATACATCCATTCAAGTAGAATAATTGCCTGGAAGTCCTAGAAAGATGATTTCAGAATCGAGAATTACGGCTGCAATGAGGTAGGCGCAAAGCAGGGTAGATTGCTTTTGGAGGTCGTACAGTGAACATTAAGATGAATGGGCTGAGAAGAAGGTAAAGAGGTCACAAGGCGGCCAAATACTCAATTCCAAATTTGAGTAACCTGCAGACACCTTTATAAGCACGCATTGTACTTAATAATAACCGGTTAGGTAACATTGATAAAACAAGTTAACTTGTAGTTTTCGAAGTGTTCGTGTCCAAATTGTGTGCATAAAATTGTTATTCTCTCTTGCGTGCATGCAATAATTTGTTTCAGTATGCGAAACCTGCGATGCTCTATTTCAAACTGTCCCTGTAGTTACGCGGATCGCTGCGTTTGGCTATTTAGGGATGGGCGAGAACGGTGGAGGTGATTTATCAATACTAAAACCAAGTCTGACTTATGCTGCACTCAATTTCATGCGTTTGTTGGTTTTTCCCGCCTGTGGTAAATGTTTTCGAAAAGTGTATTTGTCATTCCTCGTCTTGTTTTTGACCTAGGCGGTGATTTGCTGTCCTATAAATGTCGAAATTTCAGATAATATGGAACGTTTGATGCTGTTCAGGCCACTTCAGCAGGCTAAACGTAATGATTATCTACAATGGGACGAATACTTCATGGCTCTTGCCCTCCTTTCCGCTATGCGGAGCAAAGATCCCGTAACTCAAGTATGCATATTTTATAACGTTATTGAATCCTTAAGAAGGGATATTTTGGCTTCTGAAGTGCTCACTTTCTTTTTACTTTAAGGACAATCTAAATTTGTTTTGGTTACTTTTATGAATAATGTAATCAGATGGGTACCTTAAGATTTTAGAAATTTTAATCCATTTTGCCCAAAACAGCGCAGTCGCCATTTTCAGGTTGGTGCTTGTATAGTCGACAATGAAAACAAAATCGTCTCCGTGGGTTATAACGGTATGCCCGTTGGGCTCTCGGACGACGAATTGCCGTGGACAAAGAGGCAAGAAGATCCATTGCAAAACAAAAATTTTTACGGCACGTCTTATCCCTAATGCATTTTGACTATATACAACATCAGTTGCTGAACTATCTGTCTATAATTCGGTTTTACGATTATGTTACTGTTCCTCATCTTTAGTTTGTCATGCAGAACTAAATGCTGTGCTCAACAAGAACACTTTAAGCGTCAAGGGTTGCAAAGTCTACACCACTCTCTTCCCGTGTTATGAATGTGCCAAAGTTATGATTCAGTCAGGCATCAGGGAAGTTATTTACTTCGACGAGAAGAAGACCATCACTCCATCTGGCGATGCTTCAAAAATTATGTTCTTGAAAGCAAACGTAAAATTGACGTAAGTAGTCACTTTCCTGCATCATATCCTAAATGTCAACTCTTATGTCAAAATAGACCTTTTTTACAGTCCTTTTAAACGAACCAACCGGAGGATTACGATCGACCTCAGTTGAATGTCATGATATTTAACAGTTTTAGGATGTGCGACAGCAACCCGTGGCTTTTACTTTTCTAGTTAGATGACAATACAATCACCTGGTTATGTATTTGATGCGTCTTCTGATTTACCACTCTCTTTTTGATATCTCAAGAATTCCATCATAACCCCCACCTCACACTGGGATGAATTTGTGATGTGAATTGACTGCACGAGTCTTTGTAATTCACAATAATATCAGATTTCGAGTGACAAAAAGCATAACCGAGCCCGTAATTGTGTGTTTAAATGTGTACCGTTTTATTGAATTTTCAAACTGTCATCAATTTGTCCAAGGCGGGGGACTCGATTCCACTCGAGAATGAAAATTGCAGTGCGTATCATTTGCCCGGCATGATGTAACGTGCTCACTGCCTAACTAGCGTATTCAAGCGAAAAATCAGAACGCAACAGGCGATTCTGGTTATTCGATTGTTAATCCTTCCGCCACTCACTTCCAAACTCGCTGGCCGTCATCACCTTGTGCGTACGTGTTTGGAAGACTAGATGTGTGAACTATCAATTGGTAGTACGGCTGGCATTATGCATGGAACCAGCAATTCTAGAACTGTTTTGAATGCCTTGATCAAGTGACGTAATGCATGCGAAACAGTAACAAGTTCGCAGCCAGGCATAGATGAAACCAATTTTCGCCTTAGGAGCACGGCTACCCTTCTGAATCTGATTTCAAGCCGTTAAAAGGTGACACTTCTCAGTCACCGAATGGATGGTACAAAAGTCTTTGGCATTGCCTAGGCGATGGCTTGGGATTTGTGGGGGTTGAATGGGTGCGGCCGCTTATCAGCATTTTAAAGCGTAAATGTTCAGTCTATGGCCATAAATGTACTGCTTGCTATCTAACTCCACAACCTGTATGTCACAATAATATTGTCTGAAGTTTGGTTTTATGGCGACTGTTTTGTGATATGGATAAAACATGGTAAGTTTGATGTGTGATGATGGGAACATCGTGGCACACTCATTCTTGGGAAACCTCGACCAGATATCATTTATAGATCCACCAATTGGAGGGCAAAAGATCTGGGAGAATTGATGAAAACGTTATGTATTAGCGGACGGTAGCAAGCTTCAAAACTCAATTCGCTTCCCACTTCTCCCTATCACAAGATGCCAACAAGGTTGGTGAGCACAAAGAACCCCAGTAATAATTCACGCTTGCAAGGTTGTGCTTTGATTGTTTCTGATGGTTATGAACGGCGTGACTCCAGTGCATGAATCCAGTCAACAACTAGGAGCAATCTGCCCCAGAGGCCACCACAACAGCAATGACTTCAATGTCATCAGCAGTTCACTGCCATAGACCGCAGACTCATTTATTTTACTTCCAAACATGCGAAGCGAGACCACCTCAAACGTGGTCGAAATTACTCCCAGATCTGTGGGACAACGCATAACCCCAAGGATTCGCTCGTGACACAAGGTAAATCTTGGGATAACAGACAGGAGCCGGCTCATTCTCATCGTCATCTTTCTGACTCCCTTGGTAGCATTTCTCTGAATGACAACTACCCAACATTAATATTCGACAATCGCACATGAAACCGGATATAATGTCGAAAAATGGGTGCGAGTTAAGGTGGGACTACGTTAACTGCGTCCACAATTAAGGATGAGTTGAAAGCTGCTGTCTCGGCGGAAAGGGGAGCATAGATAGCAGTGGTTAATATTTTAACAAATGAACTACTTTGAAAAGCTTTCAACACTTCGTTCTCAACAATGGAGAACCATTTCAGTAACCCAGGGTTTCAAATGCTTGGTCGTCAATCTGTAGACTACAATATAGTATACAAAATGATTTACAGCAATTCTATGCACAAGCGAGCCTCAAACAACATCGAAGCAGAATTTTGGTTCTCCAGTGTAAAAGTCAAAGCTACTTTCCACCTTCAAAGCACGAGGATGTTTCTTCGATCTCAGTTTGTCACTTAGGCTGGGATTCAGGAAGACTACTCCTGAGTGAGGACCAGTCTTACACCACTCCACTTCCTTGTCCACTTTGATGGGTTTCATAGGTCCTCCAACTACCTGCCACACTTCGTCAGCCATGCGCCACTCAGCCCATAACGCCACCGCATTGACCGATTGTTCGTTTGTGGAGAGTGACAGAGTTTGAGTTTGGGCGACCTGAGCTTCAAGAGACTTAGGTGCTGCCGGGCCATGAGAAGAGAAGATGGGTGCATCAATCAGATGCATCTCGAAAATAGGCTTCGGGAGCGACCGTGCTTTACCCATATACTGCCACAGAGGCTGAGGTTCAACTGGAGCGTCTGTGGCTGCTGCAGCCGCCAAAATCATCTCATCGAAGAGGCGCAAATCGAACCCTTCGCAGTCGGCCCCAACAGGTGCGCGGATTTTCCAAAGGTGTTCAAATTGCATGGCTACTGCGCATATACGCAGGTGTGTAGGTGCTATCAGCCGACAGGGATGTCGAGGCAGTCGCCTCTTAATTTGTCCAAAAACGTACCAAAATGTTATGGAGTTCCAAGGAAGCAAAGCAGTTGCCACAAAAGGCTCCGAAATTATGCCTATTTCCACAGGTGTGGGAGATTTTTCAACTAAATTTTCCAGCGAATTCAATAGATCATCTACATTTTCCTCGAGGATGATAGGAGAATGAGCCTTGCGGTAAACAGGGCCCATTATTTTCAAAGACATTGGTGAGGTGTCCAAATGAAATATGGCAGCTTTACCGGGAGGTAGAGAGTGATGAATTTGAAGTGGGACATGAGAAGCATCGGAGACGATTACGAGAGCAATGGATGGTGTCTGGAGAGCAGATACGTAGTCGACGACGGATTTGGTAAGTCGAAGAGAGTCTATCCGAAAGTGAGGATGGTTGAGTTGGGCAAAGCGGTAGCGGGGCCAGGCGACGTGGGCGAGACAATGACAGAAAGGGGCTTGTTGGTCTATGAGAGGTGGGGAAGAAGAGGCGCGGTGGAGATCTAGGTGCATGGAAAAGGTGTCATGCGAGAAATCGACGCAAAGCGCTTCGCCGACGGAGATGGATAGAGGACAACTACGGGGAAAGTAAACCGCCTGCATCCAATGTTCACGCCATGTTGGAGTTGCACGCGGATCATCAGGGCCAACAGAAATTTCCGTACCAACTGGAGCCATAGTGATAGCTGGAACTTGACCGGAGGGCTCCATTTGCAGCTCCCACCACACTATCATAGCGTGTGCTAAGCCGGCGCGAATTGCCGTTATCGGTTTACCATTAACTTCTAGTGTAAAAGTAATGAGAAGTGGTCAGTTACTCTTGCCACATGGCAGAAGAGTGACAGAGACTAATCTAGATGGATCAAGTTTAGGGGAAAAATTACGATCAAGACACCAACCAAACGGTCTGGTTAGACCTTATGCATGTATTGCATTCAGAGAGAATGAGAATTTGAAAGTTAACACTTATATTGCCTTGGTCAGTGCAAATGCATTGATTTACAGGAGGATCGATTCTGCAGGGAAACTAACCGATAAACTATCGTAATGGATTTGTTCTTATTCGATGGTTTCGGAAATGAAACCAATGTTTCCCCGAAGCTCTTAAAGAAAAAAGCAACTTCGTTTTGACTCTTGAGCCAAGTATTCATATTCATGGTCATGCTTCTAGTTTGATCAATGCACTAATATGGAGTAGGGAAATCACAATTTAAGAAAGGAAATAGAATTCAAAACTACCCACTATCTTTATGTGTAACTACGTGTGACCGGAAGGATGGTTGGAAATCACTTTTATAACTAAAGCTTCGAAGAGAAAAGCCAAATAGAAGCGAAAAGGCCAACTCAAATGGGAACCATAAAATATCGCGTTGTATGTCAAGCCTAAAATTTCAGCATAAAGAGAAAAATAAGGGGCTCAATTACCGGTAATTCGTTTCATCTCTTTAAGTTTCAGGTTGGAAGAATATGGAGCGAAATCAAATTCATGGAACATCAATGGAGTCTCAAGGAGACACCGAACAGAGCCGCGATCCTCGTCTCCTGTGAGAACCTCATCACGGATAAAATTGAGACGCGACACCTGGAGGTCGAAAACAACGGGTGAACCGTGGCAGCGACGCATATCCTCCGAGGGGAAGGACAAGCCATCTCCAAAGGGTTCAATTTGATTGTGAGACCAGAGGAAGGGCGACTCTACTATCTAACGTGAAATTAAACAAACAAAGCACGCATACCTGTAGATACATTTTGGCCTTACAAGGAATGAGGACGGCGTCTGATGTAAGAAGATTATCGGCAGCATGGAGGTACACCTTCAGAGCGCCCTCTCCAATAAGTTCCGTATCAAAAAGCTCCGCAACAAGGACATTGGCTTTGCATGGCATATCTTCACCAACAACCAAATCCGTGGAATGTTTGTGAATCAACTTCACACGGTCTGTAAACCCATTGGCTTTCAAGATACGCAAAGCGCAGCTGGCGACAGGACCAAAGGCCTCACAGGCGACAACCGAGTCCGCGCCAGCTCGCGCTGCCATCATTGAAAGGAGACCCGTCCCACTACCGATATCCAGCACATGCACCTCCTGGCCAGCGGCCTTCATGCCCCCAATGACGTGACGCAAGGCCTCGTAATAGCGCCGATTCCGATCGCGATCATGCAACATATCAGCGTAAGCAGATTGGGCTACCTCTTGCTCAAAATCGTAGTCATCACCCACATCGTTCCATTGAATCATACCAGTGATTGGGTTGAAGCAGGAAGTAAAAGTGCTGAGAGCATGTCCATGAGAGCTTTTCACACACGTGGACATCTTAATTGGTGACAGAAGCCGTAAGAAATTCCGCAGGATTAGACCGGTTACAGACATACCAAAGTTGATGGCGCATACTCCACCAATAAGATGATTGAAGGGTAAGATAATGCCATTTTAAAAAGCAAGCATAGCATGAAAGTATGATACATTCGAGTGGGAAAAAATTAAGGCGGAGCAACGACAAAATAGCTAAAAATAACTCTACACCACCGAAGAATCGTCCCTGAAGGCAGGTGATTGGTTCAAACTAGAAATATAGAGGCGTACGAATCGAACTAAAACTCGCGAAAGGCATCTAACAAGCACTCATAGTTAAAGGTGTGCACACATCGCGTAAACAATACCATGGAAATACAAAGTAAAATATGAACTGATTTCCGCATAGAAAAGTGGTAAAGATCAACAGACACCTGAAACACACGAATTTAATAATAGTTACCTGACCACAGTCCAAATGAAGTAGTAATTTAACCAAGTACTTTGTAATAAACTCTATTTAAATGTTAATTTTATCTGAAAGGCAGCACTTGCAAAAATAAAAGTTCTGTCCTAAAACCTACTAGCCAGACAAACGCTGGTATGAAAAATGTTACAACGTAAGTAAATTAATAACAGTCGCTTTTCTATACCCTTCTGGACCAATACAAACCAATTGTAAGGCTAGGTGGAAAATCTTGAAGCTTTCA